TCGTTTTGTGACCTTACCCATCCCCTCTGTGGAGCTAGTTCCTAGCCAGGGCCTGTTCCCTGAATGCCAGCTCAGCAGAGGCAGCCTTACTGAGTGTCAAACAGGCACTTCATACCTAATACATCCAAAACAAGCCTCTAACTTTCTGCCCTAAATTCTCCCTACCCACCGCCTTCCCCATCTCAATAGATTGTGCTTTTCTCCTCTAACTGAAGCTTTCTGTGGCACGAGTTTGATCCCCAGCCAGGGAGTTGACCCACATGGCCTGGCAGACCTCTCCTGACCCACCCGCTGCTCCCCTCAGCAGTGTGTTTCAGTACATCAGACTGTTCTGCTCCCCGCTTCCTCACCTCTGGCCTGTACCCCAATTCTTGTATGCATAAATAAGTAAATTTATAAATCAGAAAGCATCAAGTCATCCTAGACCCCATTCTTCCTTCCGCACCTTACTACTAATCTATCAACAACTTCAGTCAATCTAGACTCAACTCCCCCTTGCACTCCACTGCTCCCACCTGGGCTACACCACCAACATCACTCACCTGGACCACGCAGTAGGCTCCGAGGTGGGCTCCTGCTTGTGCTCCTTCCCCACATCAGCCTGTGTACCACAGTCAAGTAAACCTGGAGCATTTAAGCCTGACTGGATGCCCACCTCACTGTGTGTGAAAGGCCCTGCAGGATGTGACCCAGTTTCTTCTGCAGCTTCATCTCCAACACTCTCGCTGCCCTCCTCCCCCCACCCACAAGTACTCAAAAGCTCACCTGCACCTGACAAAGAGGAGCGCTTGCTGCTCCTCTTCATGGCTTGCTTACGCCTTTCAATGATAGGATGAAATACCACCTCAGTAAGCCCTATCCTGACCTCCCCCTTTTAAAATCATACTTTAACATGCCCAGCCTACCCCTGCTTTGTTTTGTGTTTAGCACTTAGCATTAACATACTGTAAATTTAACTTATCTATTCTATTCATTGTCTGGCTTTGCAGGCCACAAATCCACAGGAAAGCTTTCTCAGTTGGGTTCACATAGGTCCCAGAGTCACCGACAGGGCCTTGGCTCCGGGGAAGCTACTTGCTGGTGAGTGAGTGAGTGAGTGAGTGAGTGAGTGAGTGAGTGAGTGAGTGAGCGAGCGAGCCAGCAGATGGGCAAGCAGCCTTCCTGCAGCTCCTGTTTTCTTTGGCTTGCTTCATTCTCCATTGTGTCTGACACTACCCAGTCCTGACCCTCCATGTGCTAACCTCTAACCACGCCTCATTTTCCTTCTCTGCATTCTTTTGCCTCTCCTGATCCCTGACTACTTATCTTCAAAAATCACATTGTTAAGCCTCTGTCTCAGAGTTCCTCCATCCTCATGGCTTGGGCTTCAGCCAGGGCCACATGCTGTTCTAACCCAGAGCCCTGCCTCCACCTTCCTGTCCCCATCCCTGTGTCTTTAAGAGCACTGGGTTTGACTTGGTTCAGTAGTTAACCTTAATGAACTTCAGTTTCCTCACCTATAAAATGGGGGGTAGGGCCTCTCTGGTGGCCCAGGGGTTAAGTCTCAGCACTATCAGTCTGTTGGCAGCCTCTGCAGCACAAGTTAGATCCATGACCAGAGAGCTGACCCACATGGAGCAGCAGACTTCTCCTGTCTTGCCCGCTCTCCCCTCAGCAGTGTGTTTCAGTGGATCTGCCTGCTCTGCTCTCCACTCTGCCTCTGATAAGTCCTCTCACCACCCTACACCTCTGGTCTACACCCCAGCTCTTGTATGCATAAATAAATCTTTTTTTAAAAATAAAAAAAGAATGTGCAGGGGGTTAAAGTGCAGCACTATGAAGCTGTCCACAGTCATTGCAGCATGAGTTGGATCCCTGGCCAGGGAGGTGACCCACATGGCACAGCAAACCTCTCCTGTCTCACTGGCTGCTCCCCTCAGCAGTGTATTTCAGTCAATCTTCCTGTTATATTCCCCACTCTGTCTCTGGTGAATCCTCTCACCACCACCACCCCAACTTCTGGCCTGTACCCCCATTCTTGTATGCCTAAGTATTAAAACTTTTTTAAAATGGGGATTATTAGAAGACATTTAATACAGCATTTATTATGTGCCAATACTGTTGTTCCAGACAGAATTTCACATATGTGGAAACTGACATTGTGCCTATTTTACAGATGATCATCAAGGCACAAAGCATGAACTAACTTGAATTTGTTAGAGGATATGAGCCTGGAGGTTTTGCTCTGGAGTTTGTCTTCTTGGTCATTATGCTAAACTACCTCCCAATACTCTCCTCTGAGAACATAGATGCCATGAGATTTGGTCTTATGTCTAAACTCAGCAAGTAATGCAGAAAGGCACATGTGGTCAAAATTAATCTTAAATCATTAACTCACCCCAGAAGTATCCAGAATTTTGTTTCTCAGTGAGCTCAATGTGGAGTGGATCACAGATGAGGCCTTGGCTTGCATTTAGGGACCACGTTACCATGTCATGTAAATATGCAGTTGAATTCAAGTAAGTACAACCAGCCTGGATTGTCCTTGGTCCTGTAAGAGAGGAGTTTCAGTTGGGCGGTGGAGACAGGACGCTCGTGATACCAGCCGTGCCTGGCATTTAGCAGGCCCTCAATAAGCACTGCTGGGTGGTGGCATCATGCCAAATCCTCCACACCCACACCTGCCGCCTTGCATTCCCTCTCCAGCTTGCTCCCCTGGCAACAGTCACAGAGGCTGGGGGCTCTTGCTCACAAAGTACACTCATCCTGGAGCCCATGGCCAGCGGCCCAGGTCCTCTGCAGTCCCTGGGTGAGAATTAGAGCTTGCGCAGGGCCTGGACTTGCACTTCTCACGCCCTGGTTCCCACTGCCCTTTCACCCATCACTGCCAGGTTGATCTCTTTCAAATACCATGTCGATTACCTTACTTCCCTCTTCAGAAAACTTCACTAATTCCTCATTTCCTACTGATAGCAAATCTCAACTCTCCTGCATGAAAGTTTCTTTTAAAAATTCTATTTTTTTTTTTAAAGAATTGGGGTTTTGGCCAGAGGTGTGGAGCTGGGGAGTGAGAGGACTCTCCAGAGACAGAGTGGGGCACAGAACAGGCAGATCCACTGAAATACACTGCTGAGGGGAGCAGTGGGCAAGACAGAAGAGGTCTGCTGTGCCATGTGGGATTGAACTCAGGCCATAGTGGCTGGTGAAAGCTTGTTAGTGCTGAGACTTTAACCCCTGCACCACCAGGAAGGCTCTAAAAATTCTATTTATTAAGCTTTTATATTGTAATAAGTTATTAAATAGCACTGACAGAATTTCAACTGAGGCCCTCCCTGGTGGC